AAGTATGCACCCCACCCCCACAGAGCCTGCTGATCTCCAAGACCTCTGGCCTCCCCACAGGCTCCCACCCTCCCACACAGGCAGTGCTCCCTTCTGGCCAATTCTGCTCAGCCTCCCTGGAGGCCCTGATTTATGCTGCAGGCAGCAGAGCCAACCTTGGAGAAGGAATGGCGAGAGAGAAAGAAAAACAGTCCCAGAGGCTGGAGGGGCTGGGGCCAGGATCAGAGCCCCTGGCAGAGGGTGTCCAACCACAGTGGTCCAGGTCTCTGGGAGCAACGCCCAGGCCTTGGGAGGGGGAGCTGAGTCTGCAGAAACGCCTCTGCTCAGGAAATGGGGTGTCGGGAAGGTGGGGGCTGGCTCAGAGTCTGAGGACAGGAGCAGACGCTTCCTGGCGGATGTGGGGTCAGAGAAGGGGCGGAAATGGCCACGACAGCTGTTGAACATCTGGAATCACAGAATTACCCAGCGCCCTCAAGGATGGTGGGTTGGTGGGGGAGTGGTGTGTGCCCAGGCCCTCTCCTGCCTGCCTCCCTGCAGGGCCCAGCTCAGGCTCTCCTCACATCTCCTCACACTGGGCATCCACCATCGACTGGGGTTGGGGTGATGAGCCCTGAGGCCGGTCTGATGGGGACCGAGTTCCCCTGGGTGGTGCACAGTCTGCACCGTTTTCGCAGACTCCAGTGCCCCCTGGAGTTGTGCAGGCCATGGCCCAGCCCCTGGGGTGGTCCCTGGAACCCCACAGGTGAACTAGGAAGGGTCACTGTGCCGAGGCCCACTGTCACAGCAGAGCCTTACCCTTTCTGCCACCCTAACACGCAGCATAGGGACTGGTCGGAGCTGAGTGCTTCATTATTTTGTTAATCAAAATGCAACCAGTGAGACGGGATATAAAAAAGGAATCTGTCCTTTCTCCCACCCACCGGGTACCCAGAAATATTAACCTGGATGTGTCCTCTCTCACCTTCCCCTGTCGCCTACAAACAGGCACAGCACGCAGTGCCGACGGGGATGGTGGCCTTACCATCTGCCCTCCGGGCCCCTCCGACTGCCGAGCGCGGGCGCGCGCTCTGGGCCAGGAGCCTGGCGGGACTGCTTTTCCAAAAGCTCGCGCAGGCCTGAGTCCTGCGTGGACGCCGGTCCAGGCGCACGATCGGCTCGTGCTTTCTGTATTTGATGCCCAGGGTCTCATGAACGTGCCCCGAGCCCGCCCCGCGGACGAGGCCGGCACCGAAGCCCTCCGCCCGC